GAGAAGATAGGGTAACCTACAACCAGCTGTTACTCTGCAGCAATTTCCCAGGTCAGCTGTGTGTGCTCCACTTTGAAGGGATGCAGCCCAGCCTCTGACCTGACAAGCCCTCTCGCAGCCTCGGGCAGGAGCCGGCACTGAGCCGTCTTTCCCAGCCCCGTGCTGCACACAAACCCATGGAAAGCACAGGAGTTCCTCATCAGAGCAGCCCTGCCGTGGTTTTTGTTAGCACTTGTGATGATTTCCTGTGCTGTTCAATAGTCATCCAGTTTGGAAGCAGAACTTTTTAGATCCATAAGCAATTTGTTCATGGTGCAAGTGGCTTCTGGGACAGCTCTTCCCCACTTAGCATGAATTCAGTACAGAAGCACTGAACAAAGCGGGGATTGTTGTCAAGCTATAAAGGATGGCTCTCGCTAACTTAAATCAGCCTCATTGGGGAAAATATTTTGAACTGGGCACTTAAACGCATTACAGCACATCTGATGAGCTGTTTCTAACACAGAATAGTTCACAGACTATAGAAAAATTCAGCATAATTTGTCACAGTGTGCTGTTCACACACTGATACATTTAAAAACTTCAGGGACAAGACTGAAAGTTTCAGCATGTTAAAGTCTGAAGCTATTTACAATTATGCTGTCTCATTGTAGTGTGCTAAAAATGCTCTGATTCTTGTCATATTAGAGGTCTCAACATCTTATCGGCAAAATCGGAGTTAAGCAAAACTATTCTGAAATGAGTTTTATGTTTGCTTGTTTGGTTGGTTTTTTTTTTTTAATATTTAGAATGGTGGGAGTTTTTTTCCAAAGTTGCCTGAAGGATAGGAATTCTAGATTGTGATTTAAAGATGCTTCATCTAGAGTATCCCACAATCAGAAGTGGGGCAACTAGAAGATGAAAGAAATAAGTACTTTATAAGAACTTTCTTTGCATTAGCTGTTACAGAGGACTTTATAGAATATTTACTCAAATTCAAGTAATAAATATTGATAGACACCAAAAGAATTTGGGCATTAGCACAGAGTCAGAAATGAAAGAACAGAGAGGTGAAAAAAAATGTAGCTCAGTTAGAGCATGGTGCTAATAACACCAAGGTTGTGGGTTCCATCCCTTTATGGGCCATTCACTGGAGCTGGACTTGATAATTCTTGTGGGTTCCTTTCAACTCAGAATATTCTGGGATTCTGGGATTCTGTGAAAAGTACCAGGATTCTTGGAAGAAGAGCTGAGCTGCTGAAAAAATAAAATCCTCCTGTTTAAAATTGTTTGCTACACTGAGGGACCTGGGAATATATCTCTATATATATCTATATACATATAGACACCTATATATCTATCCTTTAAGGAGTCACTAGGGAAATTCACAAAGCAGGAAACATTGTTTCCACACCCAACTAACAACTATAGGCATATAGAGGTCATGTAATTCAAAAAAGAAATGGCCAAAACAGAGGAGCATCTTTCTTGCCTCTAATGGATGAGGATTGCCTGAACACGTAAAGGAAATATGTATGCAGAATTATAAGGTGCATCTTTAGAAAATGTAATACAAACTTTGTGGGTGATTTGCTTAGCTCAAAAGAAGGCCTTTACAAGCAACAGCATCAATTAGCTCAAAATAAAACCTTCATAGGGAATTGCCTTAATTGACTCCTGAAGACAGGAGGAAGGGCAGCTGGCTGTGATCCCCACGGTGGGGCCAAGTCACACACAGTGCCAGTGCCCGCCCTGCACCTGAGCTGGCAATTTCACAGCCTGGTGTTCTCAGCCCCACTGCCTTTCAGAAACACTGCAGCACCTCGTGAGAAGCCAAGGCAAAAGGAAAGCTCCTGTTTGAGCCCGATATTTCTGTTGTCACAGCAGGCAATTAAACGGATATCAGGCTGTTTACAGAGGAACTTCCCCAACCCCCCTATAAGATGTGCACAGGCTGGAGTTAACGCAGGAAAGTCACTCGGTCGTATTTGAATTAATTATTTTTTATCCTAAAGAAAACTGTAACGTAGCATTAGGCAAAGCAAAATATGTCAGTTGAACTGCTATAGGGGACAGCTCTCTTGGGCTGAAAGCTCTTTGTTAGTCTCACTACAGAACAATTTACATTAGCAGACAGTTTGTTTAGATACATAATGCTGTACAAAAAAATTGTAGTGACAATTTCAGCTGGTTTTATTAGTCTGAACACACACAGCTAAATCTTTAAATGACTGTTCAACAGAACATTCTCTTCCATTTCTAAAGTATTCTCATTTCTAACTATTGTTCAGAAATTTAGAAATAATTTAGATCTGTATGATTCCATAGCTGCAATTGAAAAGTGAATTATAATGAGATATTGATGTAATGTAGCAATTGCACTGCCTTACATTCTGATGGATAAACTCTGGAAGATGTTATATTGGTAGACTGAGAAAGACCGGGACTAGAATAAAACATGCCCTTTCTTAAAAAAATGCATTTTTGTCAGACTTGCTATCATGCACCTTCCTGATGTTCATACTTTGCTTCATTCAAAGGTAAGTCAATTTTTTAATTTGAAATTGTGCATGAGAGGTCATGTAGCATGTCCTTTTGCCAATCCTTCAGCAGATCTGAACTCAACTTGCCTCACTAAATCCCTTTTGGAGAATCATAAGGTAAAGCAAATGATAATCTACATGCATTAGGAAAGCTTAATGTTTTCCTTTCTTCCTCTTGCCACTATTTGCCTTTATGAAGCTCTAGCAAGTTCTGATGCTCCCCCTGATTCCCCAGAAGCCCGTGGAATGGCAGTCCTAGGAGAGTAGTTTGAGGCCACAGACACGAAGCCACTCCCACAGCTCTGTGAGACAGGATGGTCATGATCAACTGAGGAGAGAACTGGGAGAGAGCAATGACAAAAAGATTTGTGGTATAAGGGCTTCTGAGTTTATGTCTGATGAAGATGAGACCTTTTTTTTGCCTCCGAGATTGCTGAGGCACTTCTTGGACTTTGAGAGATGGTGAATCCATTCCTGTAGAAACAGCCACAGTGTTCTTTTCATGCCATATATGCAATAGAGATGGTTTCCCAAGGCTGCCAAATCATGCAGATTTGTAAACAGCAACAAATTAGTGTCAGTGTATCACTGGGGGTAATAATTAAATAACTGCAATCCCAGACTTCTAAATATTCTCAAGTAAACTGAGAATAAAATGAAAAATCACACACCACTATCTATTTGAAGGACTTTATCCAAAACCACAATTTCCATCTGATACTAACAAAACTTTTCATTTTCACCATAGTAAAGGAATGAACCAATACTAAGTACACACTTAGTGAAAACAATAACTGGAAAAGAATATTACAGGAGCTTAAAAGAATACATTTCTGTTAACCAAACTTGCTAATTACAGTAAACTTGGAGAAAACAGAGGGCATTTTTAAAGCTGTTTTTCTCTTTACAGATAGAGCTCCACAATCCTAGAACACTGATTACAACAGTAAATGTTTTTCTATAAACCAACCCATATATTACAAAAACAATACGAAGCCCCACAAACCTGATAGTGTACAAAACAGGATAGCAGAGAGAAAGCACAAGAGAATTAAATTGTCAGGGATTATTAAGAAAAAATAACAGTGCCTACTAAAGGGCTCCTGTAACGCTGCTTTATGTGAACTGAAGGAAGTAATTTCCATATGACTGTGATCTTGTGTGAAACACAGCTGCTCTCAGAAGTGTCACTATTTAGCACATTTTTGGGGAAAAATCCCCAAACAATTAGGCAGTATTTGAAATAACTGAAAACCAAACATTATAGGCTACCTCACAAAGCTATCTACTGGATTTATTTACAGTAGCTTAACATTTCACTGAGACTTTGTACTCCACTCCTTCCAAACTTCTCAACTTCAGAACTGGAAGAGGATTTAGTCAGAGAAAGAACAAATATTTCTCAGATTAGGTGCTCAGACAGTAGAAAAAATAGTGCAATTGTTTGCTACATTATATACCCTTCCAGCATATCTATCAAAATATTTAGACTCATTTTTATTACCTTCTCACTTAAAAAAATACAGCATTCTGCTTTCTTGCTTGCTTTTGATTAGGAAATTACAGGCATCTTTAGATATATTTAAAACAAAACCCCAGCAACCCACAGCTAGTCCCGCACACTGATCCACTGAAGCAGATGTCAGAAGTGTAGAAGAAGTGTTATTAATCCAGTTGACTCCAGGTGGAGGCAAAGGTCCCTTTGGATAGAGCAGCGTGCAGGCTCAGGAACTTCGATCATCCTTATGAAGGCAGTAACTTGAGAGGGGTTTTAGGCCTAGATCTGTAAACTGTTCAGTCTTATTTGCTCATAAGCAAATTGAACTCCTCAAGAAATTCAACATCACCATAATGGCTGCAGCTCAGGAAGCTCCCAAAACAATACCAGCACAAGCAGAGGACTTGGGAAGGAGGCTGCACAGCTCCCTCAGTTTTGTCAAAAGAAAGCATTTCGTCTTGGTCACAACGAGATTTAGAAATGCTCAATCTGGCTACAGCAGCTCAGCCCTGCATCTGAGAACTGCAGATGTGACTAGATTGGAAATGACTTAGAGCATTGTGGCTGTTTTTCTTCACTAAGTTGGCATTTAATGGTCTTGACCCTACAATAAATCACCTGGAGCTTTTCTATTCTCTGTAATGCCCAACACTCCCCTCACCTTAGCCCAAGTGCATTACTACTGATTTTGATCTGCTGAAAATAAAAAAGGCATTTGGGAAAAACTCAGTTAATGCTGACTGCAGAATAATGCAGTATATTTATAAAATCTGAACTTCTGAAAGGTAATTGTGCATTGTATGGATACTGACAATATAGTTACAAAGCTTCATGGTCACAACTTACTTTTCTGCTTGAGGGAAACACTTTGCAGTTTGCTAAGGCAGATAATGACCAAGATTTTCCTACATGGAGAGACCTTGTGTCACTGTTCTTTGCACTTACTGGACATGTATGATATGTAAGGAATGTCCTTACATATCACTAACCCTACTCTCAGCGAAGGTCAGTCAAGGAGGTGGTTAAAAAGGGCTGTAGAACATTGCTGGCTTCCAAGTCATAACATGCTCTGATACCAGGGAAAGAAAAGAATACAAAGAAGACAAGTGGAGAAATAAAATGGAGGCAATATGATGGTGACAATAGGTTTAAAGAGATGGTTCACATTAGGGTAATTTGGGGAGGAATGAGGCCTAAAGGATTAGGTAGTGAGACAGTCTGTAATTCTGCAACTTGTTTCTGTTCTCAGCCTTTTCAAATCTGGGCAACAGTAAGATTCCCTTTGAGATCTACTGCCACAAAGCTGATGATTAAAATGAGGTGACACTACTCTACAGATGATACTTGACTCATTAACACTCCACAGTTAAGAAACCTGGGCTGGTTTTGCTTTTGCAGGCAGGCTAAGCATATCTTTGGAAGGTAAAATTTATATTTATTCTACTAACACAGGAAGCTTTTTGAGTATTTTCTAGAATTGAAAAATATCTTCATTACTAACCTACATAGGAAAGATAGGATGGGTGGCACAATGTCCCAAGACCTGCCAAAGAGAATGAGACCATTTGTGCTCGTGTGAAAGGGCATTTGCCTTGGTACCAACAGCTCAAGTCTGCCTATGTCACGCAGGCAAAACTGTCTTCAGAGGCACATCCTTGAGATGATCAGACATGTGTTGTGATTAGACACTTGTGTTATCAGGGGTTTCTTTTCCAGTTCTTGGCTGTGTTAATTCCCAAAACAGATTACTGCAAAAGTAAGTCTGGTCATGTGTCGTGGTGTAAGCGTTCTGGTACAGGCCAGAATGAGATAAAACTGCCCTGCACTTTGTTCTGCAAAGGCACATATTCATCTGGAGCTGATTGCGTGGACAATTGGACACTTTCTTTCTTTGTGCCTGAAGGACCACAAAGTAAAAGAGGACATGGTTGGTCCCTAGCTGTTTGGAGGTCTCTATGTGGCCAGGGGAGAGCATAGGGCCGACTTCATCTTCCCTGTTTTGAGCTGGAAAGACAAAGTAAAAGGCAAAGACGGGCTATATGAGGAAACACAAAAAGTCAGTGTTAGATTAAAGGCATTAGGACACTTTAAGGCCTCAGGACGCCTTGATGCCTTTAGGATGTTCCCAGATGGGGGGCAAAGGGCTAACTATATGTTAAACCATCCCTATCTTGATCTTATAGTGACTGACCAATGTAGTAGTAACAACAGATCTAACAGAATATGGATCTCTGCTTCCTCTTCTGTGAGTGGAATAAATGCACTTGTTTCCCTGAGGATTAGCAAGCTGTAAGATGAGGAGGGACATGCTGTACCTGATGGTTAGCTCACTTATACTTGGACCTGGCTGAGTCCAGGAAGCCAGTGGGGCTCAGAGGGACAGAGCAGCAGTTAATGAACCGCTCAGCTCTGCCCGTCAGAACCCTCATGTCTGACATTATCACCAGGGACCTGACTGCCCTTTTCCTTTCTGCACATTAACCAGACGAAATCCAATTCTCCAGAGCGTTGAATGCTCCAAAAGCACAGATGCATTTTGAACTGGGATTCTGATTTTTGGTCTATTTACCTCAAATGTAAATCATCCTTAAAAAAAGTAATTTTCCAGATTCTACTCTGTGATTAGCCACAGGAAACTCAGTAAAATTACACTGGATAAATGGACAGCGCTACATGAAATTAATAACTCTCAGAAGCCTGCATAGAAATGTGAAGAGGATATTAACAACTGGAATTATTTGAGACTAGCAAAATAAAAGCTTCTAATAATAGACAAAATAAATAAAAACCCACAGACTAAGGGCCCCTGCTTTCATTTGGCCTCAGAAACAAAGACATATTTTTCCCTTTATCTTAAAATGGATGTACAGACTATTATGACTAGCTGCTTCTATTCACTCTCAATTGGGGGCTTATTATTACAGGCTGCTCAGCAGTTGGGTGGGATATTGATTCCCTCAAGTCCCACTGCAAATGAAGATTTTTGGGCAGGGATGTAATTACTTCTCAGATATCCTATGTCCTCACTTACTTGCCTACTCCAAAGGTAAATACATTATTTGTAGCAGACAAGTCTCTCTGCTACTGTTTCATCAGTTTCAAAATTTGTTTTTCAGTTTTGCAAGTGTGTTGACACAAAAATACATCCTCCTCCCTCATTTCATTTTAGGAAGATATTAATGCTGTGGGCAAGCACAGACTCCTAGTCCTGAAGACAAAAATACGATAGGAGTAAGCTGTGTGGGTTTCCCCACTCAGTTCTCCTGTCTAATGTGCCATTGCACCCACCTGCATAATTGTTCAGCCATTAGTCTCTTTGCTGTGGTGACTGCACAGCTGCTGTGTCGAGCTGCTGGCTGCTTTGAGAAACAAAGTTCTTTAGAGTTTGATTATTTGGTACATTGCCATAGATCCCTAGAGGCCTTGGCTAACAGAGACTCATTAGGGCACCCCAGCTTGTCTTCCTGCTTTCCATGTCTCATTAGCAACTCCACAGAGCACAGACACTATTGCTTCTTATGTTTGTAGGATGAAATTCCACAACAGAGCAAGAGGCCTAACACCACATATAGAAAGTGGTTTGCTTTATCTACTACAGAACAAACTCCATCCAGGATTTTGTAACTGTTATCTGTGCTAGACATTTTTATTTAAAGCACGGATCTTCTAGAAGTAGAATCCTTCTCTCAAGCACAAAGTGCTCAGTAAAGCACAGAGCCCTCTTCTTTTACAGAAGGGCTCCAGAAAACAGCTCTGGGGAATGCATTTGGGATTTCTCACCACCCCTCAGCAAACGACAGCAGTTAGCCACCTGCCTGGTTCCAAGGATAGGAGAAGCTACAGTACTCCAAGTGAAGCTGTGTTGACAGGGTTTAACATGTAAGTACACAATGAAGAGCTAACACACTTCACAGGACCATACATGCACCATTCATCCACTTCTCCTCTATCCTCTGTGGCTTTTCTAAATTAAATGATGGATAAGCCACCTTTTTCAAGGGTTCAATTTAAACCTTCCCTGACCTCCCAGAAGACAGAAGTGGTTGTAGCGGATGAAGCCAGAACATAACATCCAGAAACACAGTGTACGTATTGTCACTACTGAAGTAGATCAGAGCTTTAACCAGTCTGCCCACTGAGATGTAGGGATCTTTAGTACACTTCAACAATATTCCACATGGGCCCTTGTATGCAGTATCCTTGTACCTGCATCCTAAAACTGTTTTTTTCCCAAGCAGAGGAGCTGCACAGTTAGTGTGTAGTTTAGCTATGAGACAGGAAATGCCTGCACTTGCTGCTTCCACCCAGCTTGCCATGTCACCCTGTCAAGCCAATTACTTAAATTAAAGTTCTCTCTGGCCCTTCTTGACAACTCAGCCTCTAATGATGAAAATATGTAAGACGATGATCTGGATTTGGGAGGCAGAACTCATTGTTTTCAAACACTCCTGCTATTACTATCAATTTCACATGAAAGTAGGGCATTTTCTTTGGGAAAAACAACACAAAAGTGTCACTCAGTTTCATTAGCAGAGTAGTTGTTCTTCGCTCTTCCCACTCCAATGCTTTTCTCCATGGTTGAAGAGTTCAGTTCAGTGCTCTGGGAAAGAGATGCAAACATTGCTAATTGCACTAAGATTAATATTCCAGGAAATTTAAACAAAGCACTCCACTGGAAAATTCATTAGGCAGCAGAATAATCCCACTGGGCAAGTACCATAGTGTCAAACTGGTTTTAATCATGGTGGAAATGTTTTGCTCTTTATGCAAAAACAATGCTTGCAGGCCCAAGCAGAGAGCCTACAGAAACACCGAAGAAAGCTGATGAGTAATTGATACAATTACAAAGGCAACAGAATATCAGAAAATGGTTGGGGACAGGACAGTACATTAAGCAATATTTGCATGGCTCCTACATGTTCGTACACTAGACGTTGTTCTGTTTGATTTTGCGTTGGGAACTTCTCTGCAGCTTTTCAGCCTCATTTAACATCTTGCTTTCTGCTCAGCAAGAATAAGGAGGGATGTAAGAACAGGCAAAATACACCATTTATGCAGTTCCCCTGTTTTTCACTGTCCTCTACCTATGAAAGAATCAATAGCTATTTCAGCACTGCTGAAAACATAATTTTTCTGTAATTCTTAAGAGTAAAGCTATTTTGTTAGACAGAATTTGCTTTATTTCCCTCTGATCTTCCAGAACTAGGCTTCTCAAACTTTTTCTCATCATAGGTTTTGTCTGTCCTCAACCACCTTCACAAAATCCTGCCTCCACAGAGGGAAATAACACACAGAGAAGCTTGTCATTGTTTTTCTCAGCCTCAAATAACTTAGTTTCTTTCCTCCCTACTGCTATCTCTGTTTGCATCTACACAGTGACTACGGAGTGGTTATAAATACGGATTTGGGGCATGCTGCTTTACTGCAAGTAACTGTCCACCAGCCCTGCAGGAAAACGGGTTTAAAGAGAAAAGAAAATCCAAACCTCTCTATACATTCAGCGGCTCTTAGTCCAGCCTCAAGCTCAGTGGCAGGCTAGTGTCAAAAATAGTCTCTGTGCCTGAAGACAAGGCATTCTGGAATCAGGGTAGTAGCTATATGAGACAGAAAACCTAGACAGTACATGCAGACATAGAAGAAGAATTTGTCTGCTACTCTCAAAGCGACATTTTATATATTTATGTTTAATTTTTAAGGAGGAAGAGGGAGACTTCCAACAGTGCTGATTTTTTTTCTTTTCTTCAAGATTTTATCTCTCTCAAGCAAATAAGGCTACAGATTGTTTTGAAAAGATACAGCTCTTGAAAAGGAACTGCCCATAGGAACACTGCAGTGAAAATGTTTTCCCTCAATAGAACAAATCCAAATAATCAGAGTCGTTACCTACAGCAGGCTATATAAAAATCACTTCCAGAAGCCTCACCAGAACTGAGAGATATATTAATACTGAAATATAAGCACTTGCATATCTGTCACTCATAACCTTTCTTGTGTTGTTTATGCCCCAGGACACACCTGATTGATGTTTTCATTCCCTCGTGAGCGCCTAAATGTCCAATCTTTCTTTCAGATTTATCTTACTCATAATCATCATCCTTCCCAATTTTCCCACATTCTTTCAATACACTAATAACCCTATGAAAGTACAGAGCTGCTGAAAAAAATCTGTATTACACTGAAGTGAGATGAATAGCATGGCATTAGGTCTTTATTTCCTGGAAGGGACAGATGTACAAACCACAGCAATCCAGTACCCCTAGACAGAAATGGGAGCTTGTGCTCCTGCTCTGTTTATCATTTCCTCCTCTGGAATAGGGAGGGTCTGCAGAGCAGCAATAGCTGTGCCTTCTCCCAAACAGACAGGTTCAGCATCATTTCATCAATTATCAGCTCCAGTAACTGGTACTGGAAGGCAAGACCTAGATAACCTGCTCTGCCTGTCACAGCTCTAAGACCCATGATTTTCAACACAGCCTAGGAGCATATGCACGTCCTGAAGACCCACACATGATGAACCTGGACTTCATCAGAACTGAGACAATGCCAACCATTTAATCCATCTAGAAACTAAGATGTCCAGAAAACATGACATGGAACAATTCCATACAACATTATACCACTGTAAAAAAATACACAAAGAAAGAGTTGACAAAGGGCAGAAGAGCTGCTAGAAAAATCTACAGTAGAAAATAAGCATTTTCTAAATAAATATCACTTTCTCTGTATTGACTATACTCAAGTTGATCTCTCTTTTATTACATTTCTATACAAAACCGATATTGGCTCTTTAATTAAAGCTCTCACTTCCACACAACTTGCATCCAAACTTTCTGCCATCAAGATTTAACATGATTAATTTTCATTTCTTTTTCATAACTGTGGCAGCACTTAATCAACAAAGTCCCTACCTATATGTATTTATATTGATATACATGTATATATACACACATACATACATACACATGACAAATACTGTTGAAGTTTTCCTCTCTTCCAGTGTTTATAGTGACAGTCATCCTAAAAGGTGAAGGCATACACCACTCCCACAACCACAATATTTCCAATTGTTGCTATTATTGCAATCCATAACAATATGGCATCATTTGAAGAACGGGATGTCTCCTCTGGTGGATTCTGCATGGACGAAGCTGCATGGACGTTGGCTGATGAGTTAAACAAGGAGTACTCTGTACTAAAGTCCTCGTTGGGTGAGTCCATAAAGGCTCCTCCCATAACTGGAAGCTGTGAAGAAAGACATGGCAAAATCAGACTGCGGGCTAAAAACTGCTTTTGCATTGTCTCAAAGTAATAGCAAAAAACTAACCATTAGCTAACCTGCAAAATCACAGATTTCATCTATGTGGTGCTTACCTGTCAGGAATACCACAGACACATGCACACTGTACAGTATCTCTCCAATTTCTGTCAGAATCAATATTATTGCAGAAAACCTACGTATATTACATGCAATATACATAAGAACTAGCATGCAGGCTTCATTCAAACTAAGTAATCATATGCATTTTGAAAGAAGGACATCTATACACAAAGTACTCACATATCAGAATCTAAGTTTATAACAATATGATTGTGACTACCAGCAATGGTATCATAACACTGCAAGATATTGTGCAATAATAGCAAGGATCTGATGCAGAGAATTCATTCTACTTCTATGTTTTACTCAGAAGCAAACCTTGGTTTATATAGAGATCATGCAAAAAATTCTTACTATAAAACAGGTGGAGTGTACTCAGTGCACTAACTTCACCTGCAAAACACACCACTGCAACACTCCATGATTTATAAATTTATACAATGGAAAATTTCAAACTGGATTTTGAAAGGCTCTATCACAAAAAAGTAAGTGACAGATTTCTAGCAATTCTCCCACTCCAGACATCTACTGGGAAGGACAAAATTTCTTTGGTGCTCTTAGTGGATTTCACAGTGGTACTAGAAAATGTTCTTGGTAAGACAGCAATTATTCAATACAATATGGAAAAGCTAAAGGAAGAAGGAATTGTTTAACCTTGTCCTTACACATGTTCTAATTGTCGTCCCAACTTTATCCCGGATCACAGCATATATTCTTCCTGATTCATAAACTATTTTACTTCTTCTACACAGTGCTGTAAAATTACATCCTTCTGCAAATGATGAAGGGCCTTGAGGGGAAGCTGCATGAGGAGCAGCTGAGGGCACTTGGTCTGTTCAGCCTGGAGAAGAGGAGACTGAGAGGAGACCTCATCGCAGTCCACAACTTCCTCGTGAGGGGGAGAGGAGGGGCAGGCACTGATCTCTTCTCTGTGGTGACCTGTGACAGAATCCAAGGGAATGGCCTGAAGTGGTGTCAGCAGAGGTTTAGGTAGGATATTAGAGAAAGGTTCTTCACCCAGAGGGTGGTTGGGCATTGGAACGGGCTCCCCAGGGAAGCGGTCACAGCAACAACCCTATCAGAGTTCAAGAAGTGTTTGGATGATACTTTCAGGCACATGGTGTGACTCTTGGGGAAGGTCCTCTGCAGAGCTAAGGGTTGGACTCAATGATCCTTGTGGGTCCCTTCCAACTCAACATACTCTGTGATTCTGTGAAATGAATGGATCCCTCACTCAGGCAAGGGAAGGATACCTACTGCAGAACTAAGACCATATACAACTAAAAAGGATTCACACAAAAGCTTTTCCTTCCATCCTTGTCTCTTGTATGTTTGGGAATGCAGAGCTGGAAGAGTCTCTCCTGGCTCACTGAGTGCAGGCTCCACAGTCTCATGTAAATATAGGACACACACATGTGTACTTCACATATCTGTAAATGCTGAGGACACACACTTCTGAATATCCTGTAAACAGCCAAAGACCTGCTTAGCAACCACAGGAACTGCAACTGTTACATACTGCAGGAAGAGCACAAGCAATGTGGGTATGCTATAACCCCAAGTCTCTTCTGTACTCCATAACTGAACTCCTGGAGGATTATAGTAGGTAAGTAGGCCAAAGCCATGGCTTTACTGTTTTTTTTTTTAAAAATAAACAGAGCTGTATATCTAAATCTCTCTGCCAGCTTGACCAGAAGGAAAAAATTCCATCATGGTACTGATAAGTGGTTTGATATTGAGCAATGAGCAAAAACTACATATCAGTGCAGCCTACCTTCATTCTCCTTCCTTTTAGATCTGGTAGGAGTCCAGGGCTTTAGGGAAAGTTGAAAAAAAAGTCTGAGAATATTTTCCTTAAGAAACAACCTCACTGCAACAACAACCAACCTTTCCTTTCTCACAAGGCTTTCCACACTGCTGCTGTGGCCTTCCAACCTTTTAACACAATTACAATCTCCTGTTTTACATCCTATTTGTTAGTGCTGTTAGGGTTTTGGTATATTATCCTTCACCTTTCCAACAGGGTTCTCTTCTACTATAACGTCATCACCACGGCCTATGAGTAACAGAGGGACAAGCTCTGCCTTCATTTAGCCACATTACAGAAGGCTGCTATATCCTCAGTACTAAAATGTTGTGCCCAATACTCACTGGACTGAAAAATCAATCTCTTTTAACATCCTGTCCTTTAACTTTTGCATCACATTTTGCCTCCCCCAGTAACCTCTCCCTTTGGTACCAAACTACACTCCTTCTGGCTGTGTGCAGCTAAGATATGGAGGCTATTGAACAGGACAGGATGCGATGATACACCATCTTTCCACAGTGTTGGCTGTAATCTACAGATTGCAGTAAAAAAATTGAGAATTTTGAGAACGAAGTAATTTTTTTGTTTGCCATGCAAAACATTTTACAGTGATATAAAAGACAGGCTCTTTTTCAAAGCTGACTGGTGAATAAATTTCATCTGTACTAGAAAATATCATGTCACATTCAAAATTCAACAGAGAATGATGAAAGACCACAGTGGATATGTCATACTACCTAATCCACATTAAATAAAATTATCTTTGATATCAAATATGATTAGACAAAAGCAGTTTACATGAATTCAAGCAGGAAATTGCAAAAGTAGTTTGATACATTCTCCCTGCATCAAACACTTTGTCCTGTCAGTTTTGACGCAGTGTCCTTTAAAGAGAACAAGAGCTTCCATTTCGAAAGCCCAGCATGATGTTTTGAATCCAATTCCACCAGCCTTTTTTACGTCATGGGATTTGATAAGCAAAACATTTCTCAGTTTAATCAAAATTCCTTTTTATGTAGAGATTGCCATAAAAGGCAATTCTGACTTCAAACAGAAGTGTATTTACGCAGTGACAATGCTACTTAACAGCTATGGAGAACTCTAAAGATCTTTGCAGCAAAAAGTGGTCATACATTTACTATACTGGCAGCAAAATGCTCAATCAGGGGTACTTGCCTCCTCAGCAAACCATTTTAAGGGTATTAGCATTTAGGATGCTCAAGTCTGCAAAATCTTTCAGCTGGAACAATCATCCAAAATACAAAGGTACACACATATGTGCATGTGCCCAAGACAGTGGGAGGTCATGAACACTGTTCTGGTGAGTTATATCTGTTTTTTGGGTCACGTAATATGTGCTCTCAGTGAGTTACTTGGAATGACAAGCTTCCACCCTGTTAGTCTACCTGGTGCTGTCACAAAGGCAGGGAGCATCCGTGTAGCAGCACAGCTATACAGCGCACTGTAAATTATGTCAAATCAGAATCTCCTTGTACTGTCTAAGGCTCAAACAAGCTGTCTGCACCATCTGAGGGGAACACATGGTGAAACAGTTCATCTGAATCTCTGAAAAGCTTGAGGTGACCTGACAGAAAGCACTGACATTCAGCACCTGGCACAGGCTCTTTCTGTAAAACTGACTTCCAGTTTTTCTGTTTGTAGGTCAGTAGCACTTCAACAAAGATCTGGAACTAAACCTTACTGCCAATTTCACATTTGGACAAGTCACCTCTTACTAAAATGTGTATTGTCACTGCTAAAATGGCCTCATATAAGAGCACAGGAACGGCCATATGGTGTCAGACAGAAAGTCCATCTCCCTTGTGTGTTAGCCATAAATAGATGCTCAGGAAAGAGTAACAGCACAGCAGGACGACCATGTCTGATATTTCCCCTTAAGTACTCACGGCCTCTGACTGTTTTCAGCTTAGTAAGTTCCTCAGCCAGATACTATTGCTATGGATTTAATAACTTGTAAAGAATTTTGCTACTATGAACTTGTCCAGCCTCCACCTGAGCTTATCTGAAGCTGAGCATCCTTCTCAGTCTGGCCTCTTAGTGCCACTTAACAGTCAGGGTTACCCAGTGATTAGTCATGTAAATCATCCTTGGGAGATAATGCCATCTCTCCATGGGAGAGAGAGAAGCACAGATGATTAGTATCAACTGCAATCTATCATTTTGGTAGATTAACTTCAGTGAGATGAATCTCATCATCAGTCTTGATGTCTTTGTTCTCCCAAAACATACAGTACCTTCCTTCTGCAGTCTTATTTGGGATATTACATTAAAGACTGTGAGACCTCCACACCCAACACTAATGGGAGTTGCAAAGTGCCTGTGATTAACAGCAGGCTAAGTTCAGACAGCCTGCAGTGCACTCCATGACTGCTCCATTTTTCTGCCCATGCCTCTACAAAGCAAATTTACACCAATTTACATCATCCAAAAACTTCACCCATGTCACTGCCGTTACAGTGACCTGCAGTCTTTTAGCCTCAGAGGGTATTTATAGTTCAGGCAAAGCGTGCAGAGCCTCTGCCACCCTCTCCAAGAGCACTGGACGAGGGGGCCAGGGCAAAGGGTTAACTGGGAAACGTGACAGCGAGGGATATGACAGGAGCAGATGGTGAGGGGGAATGCTGTAGCACAGTGTTTGAAAATTAAACTCTTTTCCTAGTGACTGTTTCAACATTGTGAAGCAGCACTAATAGTACATCGCTTGCTAAATGGCTTCTGGGACTGGCAAACAAAGAATTGATATCATTAAATAGCAACAGGCAGAAAACCAAACAGCAAAATGTCAAGTGGTAATGAGAACACCCGCTGTGCTGAATACCTCCTACTGACATGCTTTGGGGTCACAAGGAGAACAAGGCTCTTGAACAGCTACACGATGCTCAGCATTTAGCAGAAAAATCCTATTTTATAACCAAAATGATTCACAGGAGGAACAAACAACACATCAGGTACCAGTCACTGATACTCTAAAAAAGCTTTTTTAAGTAGCATCACATAAAATCCATCACTTAGCAATAACATTGCTCCATTTCTTTA